TTGAACTGAGCATCTAACAATCCTCTAACCCCATCATTGTGGTTGTGACAGCCCTATAGATTATGGTTCTTCCCAATCCTTATGATTGGTGGATTAGATTTATCTTTTTCTGTTCTCTAACTGTCCCATTTCTATCTGCACTCTTTCTTAGTTCCTTATCCTATTAAGGTAGTTTACTGCCACATGTCAGTTATAGCAGATTTGTGTTCTATTGTTTTTCTGCCACTTGTTAAAAAGCAGGGTATTAGGGTTTAATAGTGTTAACACTGTAAGTCAGTTCCTAGATTTTAGAAGTAATAGTTTCAACTATTGTAAGAATAAAATTCTTATGTAGAAAGGAAAGAGAAATGGGGATAAATTTAGAAAAAAAGATCTTGATTATCGTTAGGTTCTCATTTAAAAAGGTCATACTATTAATCAACATCCTATACCAAGTTCTTATTTAGACCCATAATGTTTAATATCAAAGCATTCTCTTATTTAAAATTCTCTAACAACAAGAATTTTCTCAAATGGTAATGGATCAAGCACAAAGATTCTTTATACGGGAGCAAAACAGTGCAGTTTTATTTCACAACAGCAAGTCTGGCAACTTCTTTGAAGCAGTATCTAGGGGTGGTTTGTGGATGATCTAGCCAATAGAAGATATTGATGATGCAAGCAATGACAAACCAAGGTGGCATAGACACAAAGCAAGAGTGGAGATTAAAGATGACACAGCGGACACCAAAGAAGGATGTGATTACACGACTCTGTCTCCCTTTTACATAGAAAAACATCCATTCACCAATATTTTCCTCCTCCTAATCAGCTTGCCAATAGTAAGAATACACCTTCTACCTGCTTCCTACGCGAAGAAAGTAACTCTGAGTGGAGCGTTAACCTTCTAGATTTGCCAGAAAAAAAATGGTATTTGTGGCATCATTTTTAATCAAATGATTTTAGAAAAACCTAAACGAGGAAACCCTCTAGCATTGAGTCTCTAGTTCTTCTCATTGATTGCAGCAATAAAAAGTGTTTAGAGGAGAGTCTCATAGTCATTTACTTCTCAATCACTGAAGTCTTTCTTCACTTCCACATGCCACTCCTCTTCCCCCCCGATAGCTCTATACAACTCGTGGATTGAAATATTCTTGTGCTGCACAATAGCATATATCTAGGTGAAATTATTCTTCTAGTGACCCCTTCTTAACCAAGCATCACACCAGAAACTAATCCCATCCCCAATGCCAACCCTCCAACTAATACAATCCTAATCTTTATTTCTGTCCATGCATTTTTTTTTTTCACATTCCCTTCCCATGGGGTCGAGTCAATAGTTTGATATACCACTCTCTATTCATAGTTCCAAACCTCGCCTCAATCACCCTCCACCAGATATTACCATTTTCATTCATGAATCTCCAAAGCCACTTTCCTGTAAGACTAAATTCACCTCCACTAAAGATCCCAAACCCAAACCTCCCCGACACAGGCATTTCAACCTCATCCCATGCCACCAGGTGATAGTTTTTCCTACATGCCAAGTCGCCTCACAAAGATTTACATTGAATTGATTCCACTCTTTGTGATATTAACCCATGAAATAAATGCAAATCATATTCTTCTTAATTAAAATAATATGCATGTAATAGAAACTAGATTCCCCTACCAGTCATTACAATGAAAAATCACTAGGCAGCTAACTACCCTTAATAACTTATCCAAAGTTCTTATGTAAACAAAAACAAAAAGAAAATAAAAAACTTATCCAGAATGAACTAATGAAAATGATTATTAGAGCCAAGCAGCAAAATTATTTGTATTAAGACTGATAACAAGGAAAATATGGAATATTAAAAGAAAGAACATATTGACCTTCGAATGCTAAGAAGTCAAACGTCAAACAGGACGTAAAGGAGGTAAAGATACTGAACTAATGGAATATTAGTGCAAATGCAGAAAAGCAAAGAAGTAAAGGAGGTAAAGATCAAACAGGAGAGAATCCAAAAGCCCTGAATGTTAGCAATTACATGACGGCCAACATCTACGGACCACCTAGGTATCACGATGATCTTGGGAAACAAAATACCGAAACAGGCCCCAGTGAAAACTTTAAAAGGTTTTATCAAGAAGGATAACAGCTGGTAGCAAGTCTCTGAATGTCTTGAAGAGACCTCATACACAAGATAATGCACAAAGAAGCTAGGATCATACAGAAGATTACTCAGAAGAGTATCACTGGAAAGCCTCAGCATGAAGACTCTCATCCAAAATAGAACAAGAATGCAGAAGATTATCATAGGCCTGGTGAACGAAAAAAAAAAAACCATGGAACTCAAATTTGGAGTGAATACCAGCAGATCTTCATGTTTTTTGCTGAGCTCTGCTTCACTGATAGATGAATCCCATTCAAGATTGTACTCTCGTGCAATTTCCTTCAAAACCTCGAGCTTTACCTCCCCCGATGGAGCACTAACCGAAAGTTTTTCTATAATCTGCATGGACAAAAATCAAACAACGGAAACGATAATAATTGTACCAGTCACGTGGTGACAGATCTGTCAAACATGAGTATTCCCTAGTTAAAAGGCATGCTATACAGAAATATCAAATTGAAAATGAAGAAACAGTTTGAAAGTCAATTAACTGTACGGTTGACACCGGAATCAGGACGAAGCTCGGATGCAGCCATGACAAATTCTTTCCCATATTTTGTAGCAAATAAATTTTTCACATGTAACAAATCAGGAACTTCCGAACATCTTGGAGAAGCAAAAATTATGCTGGCAATAGCTTCTCTCAGTTCTATTGGGCACTCCCTGTCAGATGAAAAGATTTATTATAAATTTGCACCCACACTCGAACTGATAATAGAGACGCAAAAAAAATTATCCAATTTGAGGATGTCATTAGGAAGTTCTCAAAGAACAGGCAACAGCCCGTGCAGATATACTAATATAGAGAAAGGATCCAAAGCAGGAAAACTGTATATCTTTTTTTCTGAAAGTAGGAATAATGTCTATCCTCATGAAGCTTTTCTCTACCATCTGCAAAGTTCTAAGGAGAAAGTTCTAGAGCAAAAAATTGAAATGTTTAACCATCATTCGGGTTAACGACTACAAAAACACATTTTGTTTTAAATAAAAAGTATGAATATATTAACAAAGCACCAAGGGAGTGCAGCCCATGTACAAAAGTATTTACATATTGGATAGGCAATCAATCATATACCCAAAATCTTTCCACTCTATACAAGTCATGCCCTACTAATAAAAAACCAAAAAGATGAAACCATCTATCTCTGATCTTAGTCATGTCACTTTTCATCCCATCAAATACTCTCCTATTTCTTTCCTTCCAAATAATCTAAGATACAGTCAAAGGGATTAATCTAGTTAACTTTTTATTCTTTTTACCAATCCCAACCCCAGCCCACAGTTCCTCCTTGATCATACCTGCCATTACCCAGCTCACCCCCAAAAGGCTAAATATCATAAACTGTATGTCCTGGACAGCTAGGCAGTGGAGGAGAAGATGACTGCACAATTCAGCCTCCTTTTTACACATATAACATCAATTCACCATCACCTTTCCCTTTCTCATCAAGTTGTCGCTTGTCAATATGCAATTTCTGCTGGCCTCCTAAGAAAAAAAAAGCAATCTTAGGCGGAGCCTGCACTTCCCAGATCTGCTTGGCCAGGAAAGAAAGCTGTCTGCTACCATTTTCTCCCATAATATACTCGTAGTAAGATTTCACAGAAAAAATCCCATTTTTCTTGTGCTTCCAAATCAATTTATCATTATCAGTTGTGACAAAAACCTTGGATAGAAAAATAAGCAAATTCTCATATTTCTCCCCCTCCCAATCATTGAGATTCTAGTCACCACCATATTCC